AAGTCCCTCTAACCACACACCTCATTAACTCACTAATTACCCTCATTAGATTAATAAAGCAAGGTTAAATTTTCTTGGGTGTTACACCTTAAGCTCAATTTTTTAAAAATTATTTAATTTTTAAAGCTCAGTCCTTATTCAAAGGGCTCAGAGTCAAGCCCATAAGCTCTTTATTTTTTTTATTTTAGGTTTTTTAAAAATTAAAAATTTCAATTGTAACATTTCATATATTTTAAAAATACAAATTATAATATTAAAAAATTAAAAATAAATAATAGAAAATCAAATCTTAAAGCATAAACATATATTTTAAAAGCTTAAATTCAATTTCAAAATAAAAATATTTTTTTAGAGTTAAAATAAAAAAGGGCCTAAAACAAATGGCCGAGCCCTTTTTTCAGGGATTATTAGGGTTGGGCTTCAAAGCTCAATTTTTCTAAAAAATAAAATCTTTTTAAAAAACCAAAACTCTTATTAAAAAGGAGCTTAAATTGGCAGCCTGTCAAGCCCAACTTTTATTCCTAACTCTAGCTAAGGATAAGTTTGAACCCATAATCCTTGGCACACTAAATGAGGTATAGCCACCAAGCTACCAAACACTTTTAGTTGTATTAGGCAAAACAAATATCTATAGTGGCAGCGGCGGCAACAGTACTAATATAGTTTTCTTTTTTCTTTTACCACTTCTTTATTACAAACACAAAGTTGACATACTAATTCCTTAATAGCTTTTATTATTTTATGAACATTACTTATTAATATAATATAGTTAATTACAAATTGAGAGGTTTGGAATTTCATGTATTTTACAAGTTTTCACTTATAAATTCACATTTAAGTGTTATTAAAATAACATGTTCATTACATGTAATAAATTTAATTTTCAAATCATTTGTTTGTTATAATGTAAAGTTGACTTATTAATTTTTTTAATGACACTTGTTATTTTAGTAACGCTACTTGTTACTTGTAATTGACTATGTCAAATCAACAATAGCATTGCTAAAATAACAATTGTTGTTAAGGAATTAATTAAAAAGTCAACTTTATGTTATAACAAACAAGTGATTTGAAAACTAATTAAATTTATTGCATATATGAATTTTTTATTTTAAAAATATTTAAATGTCAATTTATAATTAACTCGCAAAATACTTGAATTTTGAAACCTTTCAATTTATAATTAACTATGTTAGATTAACAAGTAATGTTTTTTAATATAGCAAGTGTTGTTAATGAATTAACAAGTCAACTTTATGTTATAACACATAAGTGATTTAGAAACTAGTTAAAATCATTAACTATATGAACATGTTATTTTAGTAATATTTAAATGTCAATTTACAAATGAAAGCTTGTAAAATACATGAATTTCCAAACATTCTAATTTTTAATTAACTTTGTCAAATTAATAGGTAAAGTAATGCTCATAAAATAACAAGTTTCATTAAGGAAGTAATAAGTCAACTTTGTATTCGTAATAAAGAAATGGTCTTGAAACAGAAGAGCAAGCTAAAATCAACCTTGTGAGGTTGTTTGGGGTTGGAGATTGTCAAGGTAAGCTTCCATTGCTTCTCCCTAGCTTTTTCATAAATTTTTCTCTAAGGTTTTCGGGGGTGGTTGAGGATGATTTTGGTTTTGAGGAGATAATGACTGAACCCAATGTGGAAAGTTGATTCTTATTTTTAAACCAAAGGTTAAGGTTTATATGTTTGAGAAACAGCCATAGAAGTAAAAGCATACTCCCTTCAATCCAAAATATAATCATTTTTTAACTAATCGTAATTCAAAATATAAGCAATCTAATACATGTAATTTTTTTTCATTTTACCCTTTATATTTATTAACAAAGATATTTATGTAAATATATTTCTAACTCATCATAAAATACATTAGTAATTGAGATTAGGAGTAAAATGGAAAAATAATATTTGTTTTTATGGAAATGAGTACTTTATTGATATGTGAAATTTTTTCAAAGGCTGTAATAAAATTTAGAGGAAGGAATTATTTTTAAAAGGAAGAAAATGTAATATCCCAAAAAAAATTCTTATAAAAGGAGGAAAGAAATCGAATAGAGATTGAAGCCCTTTCAAGACATAATGAGAACATGTCAAAATTTAAGAATTATTTTTATAAAATCTCAAACAATTGGGAAATCAAAAAACACATTTTGAACTAACATGTGAGCTATGTCTGCTTAAGCATGATATCTTGAGTTTAAGGTCATTGTTAAGCAATTCCAACATTGTCCTAAAAAATCATATAGTTTTTTAGTTAATATTTTGGAAAAATCGCACCAATGGCCCCCAAAGGAAAAAAATTGCACTTAAGGGCCAATACATTCTAAAATGGGAAAAATTTAGTGAGGGACTTTGATCAAATATAATGAAAAAGAGAACCTCTAAAATTTTGAAATTTCACTGAAAGAACTGTACAAATTTTTATTTGAATTTGTGACAGAAATGATAAAATTGCTCTCATTTAAATGAAAAATATAAATGACTTATTCACTCCCATACTATATATTGTTCTTTTATTTATGAAATGTTATTCATTTTCCTACTTCACTTGTTTATAGTCATACTTTCACTTGATTTCATTTTAAATCCATAAACAAGTGAAGTAGGGAAACGAACAACATTTTGTGAGTAAATGAATAACATACAATATTAAAATATTTTACCAGAATCAAGTAAAATCTTAGATCTCATTAATTTTATCTAAAAATTTAACAAGTTTTTAACTTTATTCTTATTAAATATATATACTTGAAAAATAAAATAATTTAGCATTTAGTAACCTTTTCATTATTTAATAAAGGTAAAGATGTAAATAATAACCATTGAGATGCTTTATTTACCAAAACAAATATTTTCTCTACCTTATCACTAAGACCATAGGAGTATCAATTAAAATGATGTGTGTGTGTAGTTAGAAGGTCCATGTGAACTGGAGGGATGAAGGGACTATCGTCTTCAGAAATATTAAATGACACGGAACCAAAAACATTCGCAAGCTTGGGAATATCCTGCATTTACCCTTCATTTGAATGAATATAAAAATATAAAGAAAAAAATTTGAGAGAAAACTCCTAAAAATAAAAAATTATTATTTTTAAAATTTCTCCTCTAGTTTTCTTTTCTTTTTATTTTTCTTTTACTTTTCCCCCATCCAAACCAAATTTTAATGTTATATTTGAATTAATAATGATTTAGTTTTGGATCAAATCTCTTATTTAGATGCACAAAAATTTATAAACTTGGATTTGATTCATTTCAAATTATAATCCTTTTATAATTTTAAATTTTTTCTACACTTTAGTTATTTTAAATTTTAATCATTTCAAACATCTTATTTTCTTACATTTTTGCTATTAATACTTTTATGACTTTTGTATCTTTTCTTATCCCTTTTTAATTAAAAATAAAAATAAATTCATTATTTTTTTTATTTTGAATTTTAGTTCACCTCTTTTTCATTTAAAATTTTTTAAATTTTTCAATAACATGAATTTTTAATATAAAATTTAAATATAAACCCATCAATTCAAACGCTATTCAAAGTTACCGAAATGCGATGTTTTGGAGCAGCTTCTGGCGGTAACGATGAATAATGATGCCACTCTGTGCAGAAAGCAAATTGGAACAATATTCTCTAGGCCTGGTTAAAATATTTCGACTGCAAAGCAGATTAGGACAACCTGTAGGCTCAGTATCTGTTGAGCATTTTCACATGAAGCAATGCAAAAATATCTGCTGACTTTCTATTATAAATATTATTGAGACAACGTGTAAATTTTTTCTCTTTTAATGAGTGTAAATGACATCAATTAATAATTAAGTAAAATAAATGAATATTATAAAATAACAATTCTATCTTTTCACAGAAAAACTTACTTGCAAGGCTTGTAGAATATTTTTTGATTCTATGAAGCCTTTAATACAAATATATTTCTTCCATTTCCGAGTCTTACTCCTAATAAAATAATTAATTACTTTCAAATTAATAATAATTTTTTATATTTATCTCTATTAAACACCTTACAATAATTATAAAATCATTATTAATAGAAGCACTTAAAAAAAAATAATGATTACATCTCAAAAAATTAAAAATATCTTATATTTTTTAACATTCAACTTCTTCAAAAATACCTTATATTTTTTAACGGAGTAAATATTGGTTTTGAGACCCTGCAATGTAATATTCTCCCTTTTTCAGTTTTCAACTTCTCTTCACATTAACGGTAATTTTACTTCTTTGGCCAGAAAATGGTAGTTTCACTTCTTTTTATTTCAGTTCCAGACTAATAGATTATATGGATCTGTTTATAAGTCCAATTCAACACATGTTTGACAAGATAATATTTCTATATTCTTGACGGATTCTTCTCTGCGGATGGAAATCTAACTTCTACCTTCGAGCCATTTTCAAACATCACTATAACAATGAAAAAGATTTCGCAAAATACGGAGAAAAAAAATCTCCATTCACATTTGTAAATGACATATGAATAGCATATGATAAATTATCCATAGACCATTGTTTCATAGTTTCAATTATGATCAATAGATAATATTCATAAAGCCAAATGACCCCTTAAATTATATGTTTAGAAGCAACTACGACCCTAAACTTATTTTGCCTAAAAAATTACATAAAAGGACCAAGAATTTTAGAGTCTCTGCCTGTAATTTTTGAACTCTTTATTATAATTTTTGGGTCTTTTTATAATTTTGAGGTCATTTTTTTCATTTTTTTTGTAAACTAATAGTAAAAGTTAATTTATATTAACAGTAGGAGTTAAATTATACTATTTTTAAAAGTTGAAGAGAAACATTTCATAAAAGATAAGTATAGAATCCTAGACATTTTTTAACCTATAATTTAGGAGTCAATTGGCTCGTTTAATAAGAAAAATAAGAATTTCAGATGGCAATAACAGAGAACCTTTTATTTCTTCCACACTATCTATAGCAGAGACAAAACAAAACCATTTAAACTGTGAAACCTCCATCTGCATGTATAATTTGTCCAGTGATGTATGAAGCAGCAGGAAGGCAAAGAAAAGCAACTAGTGCTGATATCTCTTTAGGCTCTCCAATGCGATTGATAGGAAGTTGAGACGATATAGAATTTAATATTGTTGCGCCATCTTCTTTCTGCATGCAGATCAGAGATTATGTTTCACTTAATTAGTAAAATGATTTTCTATGGAGGAAAAGAAAAGGATGAAAACAGGACAAATGATGCTTAGAACATGACGTAACAGGATTGTGAGCAGTTAGATATAGCAGCGGGCAAGAATTTAAGCTATGATGCAATGCTTTTCGACAGTGATAACAAATAAGAACCTATGAAACACGTACATGAATATCAGCTAATAGATAAATCAAACGATTAAATATGAGTTTTTTTTTTTTTTTTTGCTAGGCATCTTGTGTTTGTCATATAAAAAGAGTAAATAAGCAAATTGGTCCCTAAATATAAAAAGGCATTTTGGATCCTGAACTTATCTTCTATGTAATATTTCTCTTCAACTTTTAAAAACTGTACAATCTAACCTCTGTTGTTAATAATGCTAACTTTGATTGCTAGTTGACCAAAAATGATTAAAAAAAAGACAAAAAATTGCAAAATAGGGCTCCAAAAATAATATTAACTTTGATTGCTAGTTGATCAAAAAATAATAGAAAAAGACATAAAAAATTGCAAAAAATGACCAAAAAAAGAAAATTTTCTTGATCATTTTCTGTAATTTTTTAAATCTTTGACTGTAATTTTTGGATCATTTACTATAATTCTTGAATTTTTTTTTTTTGTAATTTTCGAGGCAATCAAAGAATATTTAGATAGGCTTACTGGTTTGTAAATCAGATTAGGATACTTGGTGAATAAAGAAAATTCTCGAGTTGAGAAGCACAAGGATAATATCCTCTTTGGAATAATCAATACTATATGGTGGCTTACCTACAAAGAAGAAAGAAAATATAAAGCATGTAAGGCTCGCAGACTTGGTTATGAGTATGAGAATATAGAAGTGTCATGCAGGAACTTCAGTTTTCTTTCAGTGCATTTCAAAAGTGACTGAATAATGAAACAGAAATTTCAGACGATCTTGCATGAGCATACCGAAGTAGTCTCCAAAAGTGAGGTCATTATTGCCCCAGGTGCCACCGCGTTTACACGAATATTTTCCTTTGACCATTCAAAAGCCAGATTCCTTGTGACTTGATTCATAGCTCCTGAAATGTATGTAATTCTTTCGTCAACTGCATTTGCTGAAACTTACCATACTAGATTACAGAGTCTAACATTAACTAAAGAGAAAATTAAATTGAATACCTACATTCATTCAAGAGAAGGGTAAAAAAGCAAATTAACTCTTAAACTATAAGTTCAAAAGTGTTTAGGATCCTAAATTCATTTGGTGCAATGTTTCCCTTCAACTTTTAAAAATATTACAATCTAGTTTCTATTGTTAATAAAAGTTAACTTTGACAACTAATTAACCAAAAATTGACAGAAAATGTCTTCAAAATGTACAAAAAATTACCAATAAAATTTTCTCAATCCTTTTTTGTATTTTTCCTTTATCGTAATTTTTGTTGTTGTAATTTTTAAGGTCCTTTTCTGTCATTTTCCGGTCAACCAACGGTAAGAGCTAGGTTGCATCATTTTCAAAAGTTAAAAGGTAACATTGCACCAAATATGAGTTTAAAATCCCAAATACTCATGAATCTATAATTTAGGAGCCAATTTGCACTTTCATTCTTAAGAAGAATGTGACTATGTGTGGAGTCCACAACCTAGTAAGCTTATCTTTTTTCGTTTGTCTTTATGAGAAAAGGGATTAAACATACCTTGGAAGCTGCATAGACTGAATGCTGAGGGAAAGCTCTGAAACCAGCAATGGAGGAGATATTTACTATGGTACCATTTCCTGATGCTTTTAGAAGTGGGTGAGCGAGTTGGCTCGAACGGTAAGTAGACTCAAAATTCGTTTTCATCAGTGTTGAGAAAACTTCAGCAGTACAATCTGTTGCTTCCTTAAATATATTAGTCTCAGCATTGTTTATCTAAGTAGAAATTAAACAAGGTATGAAGTCAACCGGAATATGACATTTTTCATGAAGAAATATGACATTTATTAACAATGGATAGTTATGCAAACACATTAAAGTTTGTCAACATAATTGGATGTTCTAAGTATCTTATATTAAAAAAAATAGAATATCTTGATAGCCATTTACACACAACTGCAATCTATATTCAGTGGTTTAGGATTTTGTGCAGTTTGTAGTATCCTTTCCAATATAGTCAGGGAATTGTCATCCATCCATTTCAATCCAATCATCTATTGCAAGTTTCTATATGGCGTTAATTCACTTAGCACAGCAAATGAAATGATATAGCTACGGCATGTGACTGTATTCAATGGCGAAAATACATTGTTGTAAGGAGGCAAGGGAATGCATTCCCCCACTTTTGGAAAATTACTTATTTGTGGTATGAATTTAAGTATTTCGCATTTAAACCCTTGATATTTTGAACTAGTACCTTCCTTTGAATTTTAATATTTTGCATCCCTATCCTTGACTTATGATATGTTGACCCTAATTCAGGGGTCTTGGCTCTTCCACTAAATGTATTGGACCAAAAACTGATAGACTGAACTAGTTCTATTTGCATGCCAGCCCTGTGCCTAAGCCAATGCATTTCTTCTTCTAACATGCATGTGCACGTGTCAATCATGTGTGTCCTATGATTTTGTGAGAGAATCTCACTAGGATGTCGAGCTTTCCATGAAAGATTGAGGCGACAGTTTCCATTAGATTTTCACGTTGGTCATGGAATTGAACATCACAAACTGATCCAGTTACACTAAATCCTCTGCTTTCCCACTCTTTCAGGCATCTATCAATATCTTCTTGGTTACGCGAGCATATATGCACAGCTGCTCCAGATTCTGCTAATTCTTCTACCATGGCATGCCTAATTTAACATCAATAAATATGAAGCAGTAGTAGAAAGAGCACTGATATGATTTAAAAAGAAAAACAAACAAAATACACAACAGAATATAAACATTTATTTTAAAAAAAATTTAAGGAGGTTTAGTCATATTTCATCCAAAGCTCAGTTCTTCGTCAGTTTATACCCCAAATTCTGCTAATTCTTCTAAATTTTTTCATTATTCAATCATGTTAAAATTTAAAAAATAAGTTACAAATTCATCACAATGCATTCATAAAATTGAGAGATGGACTTATAAATTTCTAGAGTTTGACACTTGGGACCTAACTTGAATTAATTGGTCCTTTTAGGACCTCTTTGTCATTCTCCCATTTTTCATAGGAAAATGATAATAAAATCTCTCTAAATTATGTAAATGGAAATTTGATCTCTCGAAATATCATAATACTAATGAAATCCTTAAGAACCTCTTTGTCAATAAGTTTTTTAGAAAAAAGATTATTTTACCTTTATTGACAAATTGTGATTTATTGTTCAATTCTTGTAATTCTTTAAAGAAAAGTTGTGATTCTTTAAACAAAAGTTGTAAATAAAGTTTGTTATTTTGATAACTTATTTTTCAATAATAAAAATTACACTTAATAAATAGTAATTTTTTGTACAACTCTTGCAATTCATAGAACAAAAATTTTTATTCCTTAGACAAAAGTTGTGTTTGGGGCTTGTTTTTTAATAATAGAAATTACACTTGAGAAATTGTAATTTCTTGTTTAATTCTTACAATTTACAAAACAAAAATTTTGATTCCTTAAATAAAAATTGTAATTGGGTCTTGTTATTTTTAGTAAAGGTAAAATGATCTTTTTTTCTAAAAAAGTTATTAATAAAAAATTTCCTAGAGACTTCATTGATATTATAGTATTTTGAGGGACTAAATTATTGTTTATATAATTTGAAGGAATTTTTTTTTTTCATTTTTTCATTTTTCATTGACAGAAATATTTTTATTTTTCATTTATTACACTCTGGACTTCGTTATTGATGTCAAAAGTAAGTTTGAATGAGATTATTCAAAAGTAAAATTATTTTGTTAAGATTTTGATTTTTTTTAAACATTATTTATTTGAATTAAAGAGGATTAAATTTTAAAATATTAAAATAAAATGCACCAACCTGCTATCTATTTTACCTTAATCCTCCATTCTATTCTTAAAGCTTATACCAAACTCCTTTAAAAGGATTTATTTTTTCATTCGTTCGACATCATTATCTCACGTGTTTAACTAAAATATGATTCTTTAAGCATAAGTATTGCTTAAAATTCATTTTAAGTTATTCAACAAAAAAAAAAATAACACACGCACACGTTTTTACTCTTTAATTCTTGTTTTACTTTTTTTAGTTATGTACACTTATTTATTTAGTATTTTTTAAAAAAATTAAATAAATAAGTGGATTATGTTTTGATTGATGAAATTCATGTTTCGATTACGTGACAATTATTATGAGTATAGTCATCGAGTATTGGATGCTGCGTTGATATATGGGTACAATAATCGTAGGTCTCTGTTAGCAGGTGTTTCTATTTGGATGAAAAAGGTCAGGTCGATGGGGTCAAATTGCAATGAAGCCAAGCTACCTATTTAATCTTGAACTTTTTACTGGAGAGGATGTGAATGGAAGGGAATCCTTAGTATAGTTGTTAAACTGATACTCCATTCGAACCCTAGTATATACTGTTTCGTCCAAAATATAAAATATTGAATAAGTTATATATATATATATATATAAGATTAATATACAATTTAAATCTTGAATTATAGTTCAGAGGCGATTTGAACCCTAAATTTTTAAAAAGTGCATTTTGAACATTAAACAATTAAATTTGATGTAATTTTATCCTTATCGTTAAATTTAAACAAATGTTTGTTAAATTAAGACATAATATGTAATTTTTATCAAATTTTACTCTCCCTCTTTCTCCTACCCTCATTTAGTAAAAATTACACAGTGGGGTTTAATTTTACAAACGTTTGTCTAACTTAACGATGGAGGCAAAATTATCCTAATTTTAATTGTTTAGGGTTTAAAATGTACCTTTTAAAAGTTTAGAATTCAAATCGTTTCTTTAAAATGCATGTTAACCCTTGTGTTTTTTTAAAAATATTTCTAATGAATAAATTATTTTATATTTATTTTAGAGTAAAACACTATAGTAAAATAGAGGTAAATTTGAAAAAATGGGGTGAGTTTGAAGATAAGTAATTATTTTATTGAAAATAAAATTCAGTTAAAAATATCTTATATTTTTTAATGGAGCGAGTAGTTAAATATCACCATATATTTGTGCTCATCATCTGTGATCAAATAAATGTGTATTAATAAGAAAAGGATTAATGAGCAAATAAGACCCTAAACTCTTGCTCAAAAATCACCTTAGACCGTTAAATCTTAAAATATGCAAAATAAATTTTAAACTTTTAAATTCATAGCAAAATAAATCCTGATCGTTAAATTTTTTAATACCGTTACTGTCTACATAGGTACTGTAATGGTTAAGGTAAAATTCATGAAAAAATAAACCTTGAACAATACCTGCGTGGACAATAACGATATTAAAAAATTAACGATCAAAATTTATTTTGCTATAAATTTAAAATTTTAGAGTTTATTTTATATATTTTAAGAGTTCAGGGCCTATGATAATTTTTTAAAAAAAATTAAGATCCTATTTGCTCATTAACCAATAAAAAAATACAGGGTATATGTTTCGTCTAACACAATCATAAATAATAAAATTAATTTATAAATTTAATTATGATAAAATATATCTTTGTAGATAAATCTAACATAATAAGTAATAAAATATAAGATAGTACAAAAATTATGATAGTTGAGACAATCTATATCATTGTAGATTTGATTTAACTATGTATTTTATGATATCTTTTTTATTTTTAAAAAATATGATTTATTATTTTTATATTGAAATTTTTGATATCTTCTTGTCCCGTAATTTTAAATATTCTTTCTTCCCTATCCCATCCGATTATTTTTAAAAGTTACTTAAAGTAATTTTTTAAAATTATTAAAAATATGTTTTTTGAAATCTGAATTATTTTCAAAATTTTAAATTTTAATTAAAATAAGCTTGATTTTAAATTATCTCCTTGAAATTTATTTTTTTTATTTTTTCTTGCTATTTGTATTATCACTTACCATCATCATACATAGTTAAATAAACGCGTATTAATAAGAAAATGGAGTATATTTTTCATCTTCCGCAATCATGGACATTAGAATTATTGAATCTAATTTAATAAGTAACAAAACATCCGGAAAACAAAAAAAAGTATGATACAGATCTTTGTGGATTGGATTTAACTACATATTTACCAGCCGTTAACTAAGAATTTTTTATTTGTGAAATGTAAATGCTCCATAAATTTAATTAACTCAAAAATAAGCATTTTGGCGAAATGTTATGAATTAAGTTTTAATATGAATTAAGTTTTAATATATAAACCAACTGATAATAAAATTTTTCGAATCTGTAGTTTATTTCTCTAATTCGAATTACTCAATGTTGGAGACACAACCAATTGATTAGATTCCTTTATATTAGGAAATTTCTCTTTCTCTCTATATATATTGTTAAATTAATTATTCATAAATTTTAAAATGTTAGTAAAGAATGATCAAACACTGGAAAAAAGGATTCTTAGTTAAGGTAGGCCATTAAAAGAAAAAGGTAGAATTACGTCCAAGTTTCACTCAAAATAATTAATTATTTTTAGGTCCATTGATAGCTAAACTTTAGATTTGTGTTGTCATTCTTATTGTTATCAAACTCTTGAATTGATTTTACGAGTTTATCATTTTTACATTTCAATCTTACAAAATCATGTTAACTCATTCATAAACTTAAATTAAATAAAACTAGATTAAACTTGTGAATTGACTTTTTAAATTTATTATTTTTATATTTTTAACTTATAAAATTATGTCAATTAACTTATAAACTCATTAAGCAAGAGATATATATATATATATATATTGTATAAAACTTGATCCATAGAAATAGTAGAATAAAATTCAATGAAAAATAAAAATAAAAAACAAAAACTAATATTAATAAAAAAAGAAAACCAAAAATACTAAAAATAAGTTACCTTATTTTAATATTTTTATGTTCAGCATAATAATCTATGAAGATGTATAGATCTAATTTCAATTATTTATATTTAAAATATATTTAAATTAAATTATGATCATATTTTATATTTTAATTGTTTAAATATGTGTTTTTTAAGGCTATTTATTAATACTATTCAAGTATACGTTTTAAGTTTATATCTATATCATGAGTTTACTTAAATTTATGAGTTTAACAACCTTAATCATTTTCCTAAGCTTGGTTGTTAATAGACCTAAAGCGAGAACTTAAAGTAATTCCCTCAAAAAAAATGAAGAAAATAAGGAAAATAAATTACAGAACATGTGACATAAAAAAAAAAATACATATCGCCCCGATCGCATTCAACTAAAAGAGACAACGCCCGAAGCCCCTTGGGAGACAAACATGATGATATTAATTACAATGAAGAGGATAGAACCAATCCTGTGCAACAAAATATCAACAATAAAAATATTAAGCTGTGCCAGGGTCAATACGCTGGATAACAAAACGAGGCTACGGAATGAGTCACAAGCACCAACCCAATTTGTCTGAGGCTCACAAGTTAATCCAAAGGAAACCAGAATGGCACTCACTTCAATTCCCATTACAGTGCCACTTATTCCGACTATAATACTGTCATTTATTTCCAATTTAAATGCTACATACCATAAATCACTGCGGTGGAGAAAAAGATCTCATAACTCCAATACTGAAGGCGTTAAGGACAACGGACTGGCTTTTTTAAGAGACAAACAACCCAAATTAGCAATAACTCGCCCAAACTCATCACAACATTTATTAGAATGGGTATGGTGGAACCTGAAAAAACAAAACATATGATTACCAAATAATCTCAATGTCGTAACCGTTAAGGATAAATAATATGGTTAAGGTGTATTTTTGTCTTTAAAATATTTTTTGAGAAGAACCCAACATCTTAATGTTTTTATTAAAACAACTTTGTCCTTAAAATTATTAAAACAGAATATTTTTGCCTTTTCTATCAAAATTGCTATATTAACCTCAAATGTTGATTGTTAGAAAATTTGATAAAATGGCAAAAGTGCTCTGTTTTAATAACTTTAAAAATAAATTTACTTCAACAAAAATGTTAAGAGTGCTAGGTGCTCATAGGGAAATACTTCAAGGATAAAAATACACATTTATCCTAAATAATAAAAATCGCCTCACTGTTTGAGCATGCAGACCACAATTCCAGAGCCACAATGAAACAAAACATCACGTTTAACAAGTATGCATTGCAACGATTGCATGTCAAATACAAATTTAAACCAATTTAATTATTTGTAGTGGGTGAAGAAGAAGAAGAAAATATTTCAATGATTCAACAAACAATTAAACAAAGAAAAAACTTACCTCAAAACTCCATTTTAGGAGTCTCATGGCTAGATGGTATCAATAACTTGTTGAGTAGTAGAGTCTTGATTCAAGTTTTTTTGTGGCTGAATGATATCATTAACTTGTTTACGCTCCATAATGATAATTAAGGGTAACTCATGAGTTTTTATAGGGGATGGAAGGCCATGGGGAAAAAATTAGATCTAGCCAAGATAATGATCATAACACACACATTTATATAAATATATATTAATTAAGTGATATAGATAGTATAACTAGTGTGAATTATATTAATTATTTTAAAATATATTGTTAATTTAAAAATTAAACTAATAAAGAAAATAAATCCAGCTTCCTTTTTATAAGGCAACAACTATCCCTGCATCCATATATTATTTCACAGGTTAATATTCAATTTAAATCTAAATTATAGGTCTAAAGACAATTTAAACTTTAAACTTTTTAAAAGTGCATTCTGAATCCTAATCAATTAAAATTAGAACAATTTTACCCTTACCATTAAATTTAGACAAACATTTTCAAAATTAGGGGCCTAATGTGCAATTTTCATCAAATGAGGGTAATAGAGAGAGGGAAAGTGAAATTTGATAAAAATTACACATTAGGCCCTAATTTAATAGGAAACGTTTGCCCCCAACTTTAATTACGTAGGGTTCAAAATGCACCTTTTAAAAGTTTATTATTTAAATCAAGTCTAAACTTATAGTTCAAGGTTCAAATTGCATATTAAATATATATATATATATATATAATTATATGCTTTCTTTATGATATTTCACTTATATAATTACTTAGTGTTTTGAATAAGCCAAATGCTACATTTATTCCATTCAAAGATGCACTTGAAAGGAAAAAATTTTGAGAAAATTAAAATTTTAACTAATTTTTTTGAGAAGCGCAAATTAATTAATAATGATTTAATATTATGGTTCAAAAAAGTATGGCTGAATTTTTAACATGTCAACTGATTTGCTAAACTTTCAATATTGTAGAATACTTTAAGTAGCTTTAAATCCGTGGATGGTCAGTTGCAAATATATGAAGATCAGTTGTAAATGATTTATAAATTTTGGAAGTTTTGTAAGTTTTGAAAGTCAACTTACAAATATTAGAAACTTAATTGTAAATAATAAAAGATTAGTTGAAAAAAAGCTTTAACATTAAAAAAGTTCGTAAAACTTCCACAATTTACAAAAGAACTGCAACTAATTTTTTGAATAATGTAGGAAAAAAAATTCTTCTAATCAAAGTTTTAAAAATGAAATTAATTGATCAAGATAAAAAATTAATTTGATTTAAATAAATGGTAAATTAACAAGGTTACTAAAAATATTAAATTAAAATTCAATAAAAAATAATATTTTTGTATCAAAAATTGTTATTTTTAAAAAATTAAACTCAATATATTAACATTTAAAAAATATTTTATCAATATTTAAAAGTTCAATATAAAAAAATTTTGTTGATAGAACTGATTATGCTTGGATTAAAGAAATGAAAAGACACTCTAAAATTAAAGAACCAAAATAAAACCATATAAAATTAAAAGACTAAAGTTGCACTTTAGCTTTCATTCAATAGTGACTATCTGAATCAGTAAATCGTCCATGGTCAAAGATTTCACACAATTCACATCCATGTAAATAGAAAACGGAACAAACGCGACGAGGAGTAATGAAACGGCGTATCAAACAGCCTACAACAACATTCATGCATAAAACTTCTCTTTTTATTTTAGTTTTCTAAAAGCATCCTATATAATCCTATTTGAAACATTATTCATTAAATATGCACACCTCTCACAATAAAAATTCGATTCTTAAATTTGCATGTGAAAAACTAATTTATTTTACTAAACCCAACCTGTTATAAACATGAGTTTAAAATTGCGGAAGGCAACCATTGGAAGGAGATTCTATCCTTATCCCTTCTCTCCTTTCCTTCTCATCCCCATCTCCACGTTTGGTTAAAAAATGAATTGCTCAAATTCAATTATTTTATAAAACAATCATTATATTATATTATATTATATTAAAAAAATCATTTTAAATTATTAAAATTTAATCTACATAGTTTATAACTGTAATAAAATAAATAACAAGATTAATTTATAAAAAAATTAATAACAACTATATCAAATTTTAACAGTTTAAATTTATTTTTACTATTATATGATAATTATTTTATAAAACTAAATCTAGACCATTTATTCTGTTTCTAAAGGGAGGAGAAAAGGATGAGAAGATCCAAACCCGACAAGCATTCAGTCCATTCAAGCCTAATTTTATTAAACTGGCTTAAAAAAAAAAAAAGCATAAACTAGCTTCCAAGCATGGCCCTTTCAAGATAGAAACAATCTCAGACATTTGTTTGAACCTATTTTTGTGTTAACCCTTGAAGACAATATTTTCAATTTTAAAATTGAATTGAATTTTCATATGTTTATGTTTTGCATTACTTATTTTTAACTTCTGAACATTCCACTTTGCATTTTAGAAAATGAATATAAAATATTATAACGTAAAAATTAAAATTCCCAAAATAAAAAAGGGCTTTCAAACCCTACCCTGCACACATTAAGGTCTGGGCTTCAAAAATCGGGACTTATGGGCCCAGCCCGCCCATTTCCCTGATCTACTGTTTTTTTCCTCTCATCTCGCCTCACAGGATATCATACAAAAGGGACAGTTCAGTCATTTCAGCAAATCTTGATCTCAATATGTTCAACCAAAAGTACACAGAAGAAATGCAACTCGTGTGGCAAGCGCATTTTCATAAATATTGGTCAAGTAAATTGATATGTTTTGTGAGATCACGTTACCAAACCAATAGAATGTGGACAAGGCATAACATACTTTACCAGTATTACAATATCACACCCCAAAAGATTCTACATGATAAAACTATTTACAAAAAAGAAAAATCATAGTCAAATTATGAGCAAGAAACTAAAAATAAACATGATGCAAAAACTGGCTTCACCCAGCAAAAGGACTTCACAGCACCCTGCAGTGCAGAAAACAAAAGGAAGACAAGAAACTAAACAATTGAACAATTGAGTCAGTTCAGTGCACATACACTTTGGTTCCCAGAAAAAACCTAAGACTTACCTTCAAGCAGCGGACAACCTAATAGAGAGACCATCTACTTGTAAGCATGAGAATCTAGAAATGCTAACCACCAGTCTAAAGAGCATTGACAATCATATGAAACCCTAAATAGGTAAACTTCGATATTGGCAATCAGCATTAAAATAGGTAGGGATGTTTTCTGAAATCCTAGCAGCCCCTGCAGTCCCAATAAATAACAGTCACACATTGGAAAACCCAGATAGAGTATTTGGACTCTCAATCCTCCGGCAACACATTCAAGTGCATTCAAGACCAGAAACATCATTCATTCAGAGAGGATTAAGTATCCACTTCAGAACAAGCAAACTATCCACCTGAGTATCCAACAAAAGGATATATATGGACGAAGTCCTCTAAGTCCTCACATGAGGGAAGAAAAGAATTATAATTTTTCATGCTCTAGGTTCGGGCCAAGGATTCTACAAAATCCTTCACGTCATAACCTGGTTAATAAAGTCCCAACTTCAAAATACACAACACAGTAGCAAGTGATTCAGACGAAATTCAATCCTTTTATGCTACTATACAGCCTCTCCAATGTTGCATTATCCAATTATATAGCAGTGTTTATGCAAATCACGAGCAACCACAAACTTGGGAATTATCGCATTGCTACAAATGCAAATTTATGAGGGAACTAAGTAAAATACTCTTGAGAAAATGTATGAATGCTTCTCTAGCACCAGCACGTTCCCTCCCTCCCTATGTAAAAAACCTAGCAAGTTAAAAATAATTCCAGCAACAAACTTTAGGGAGTGCATCATGCTTTTTATGATACACCCAATGGAGTGAGTTCCAATGAATTATTCTGACTTCAGTCATTGCTCAAATAGTGCTCTTAATACTACCAGTGGTAGCTCTAAAATGCACTGGTTAGTTCACTTCTGTTCATGATCATGACACAAACATAAGTGATCCAAATAAAACTAATCACCTCTTTTTGTGATGTCAACTGTAAGCCAACTTTATGATGGATTCGGAAAGATGTAAAAAAGTCCACAATTCTTAACCATAAAATGTAACAACTCCAGCTTGCATCACTGCCCCCAAATGAATAGAAGATATCATGACCATCTTATAATTATCCACCCATATGGAATTCTTATTTAGATAAAAGGAGGTTCAAGTTACACATGTTGAGAACTTATCATCTCTAAATAACTCAGCCCTTACATCACAATTGAAGAACCAACTGGAATAAATCCCATCCAAAGAAGAACCATGATAGTTTGAACTGAAATAACTCTTGGTATTTGATAAATTCCCATAGTCCTTTGTCTTCTCCACATTGAAGGCACCATATTTTGCATAGCGCACAACCTTAGTGACCATAGTGCGCAACCTTCATCAACATCCTAAAGCAGCTCACTTTATTATACCATATCTGTTCATAGACAAATTCACTAGTGACCATAGTGCACAACCTTCGCCAGTCATCCCTTGGGATAAATATGTAGAGATGCTATGCTGAGGATAATTAACTTTCTCACAATAAAGATATTATCTAATATCTAATATTAGGAGCTTCATGTAGTTCAATGCAATAACAAAGTTATAACTAAGTACTTGCCTTAATAATAAGACCCAGACCCACTACCACCCATGTAACTGCTACTACCACCCACACCTCTGCCAGGATATAGCGATGAGTATGAGCCACTACCAACCTACAGCAGCAAAGAAATGTGTGATTAATGCATGCCCACGTGCAACAGTACAAGCAAACGAAACTGGATAGAAAGTAGAAACATACATCATTTCCACGAGAAATGTATTCACCACCATAACTGGAGGAGTACATACCACCAACATCACTACTGCCAAAAGAACCTGAGATACCACACACAACGAAGTAAGGCCACCATAATGACAGCACTCTGATGTTAAAAACAACAAACATTATTTGAACAAACCAACCTCCACCATAACTCATGCCTTGACGACTACTATACATCCCATGTGAGTCCTGACTTGACATAGAACTCCTACCACCACTATAGCCCATGCTAGATCTTCCAAGTCTATCAAACAAAATACAAGCAATGTGTAACCACTATGAAGGAGTAGTCATGTAAGAATTCTGAAAAGAAAACTAACCTATCACCATAAGCATCCCCATACTGTGAAGTACTACCACCATAGTCATAATCCAATCGAGCTCTTGATTGGCGAGCACCACTTTCTGCATATCGTGGAGGAACATCATCCTGGGAAAAAATTAAACACGTAATTTTAATCTAGAACCTGTGAAACAATGAGATTTAAAAGTTGGCACAAACATGTTCACAATTGACGCTTACCATGGCAGCATATTGACGTTTCGAGCCAGAGAGAGTATCATAATCACGAGGACGTCCTTCACGGTAACTTGGATGTGGAGGTGGAGGAGGAGGAGGCCTCTCAAATCTTTGGACATAGCCTTCATCCACATAACCCCTCCGAGGTGCCACACGAGATGAAGTACTTCTAGGAAGCTCAGAGTAGGTAGGGCCACGGGCAGGATAATCCCTATAAGATGGGCGTCTCTCAGAGGCCACCCTAGAGCCGTAATCTGCAGCTACTCTACTTCTTGGCGGTGGTAACTCCTCACGCCGGCCATAATCTCTCTTCATACTACTTTTTGGATATGCAGGAACTAACAAAATGATAAAATATTGTTAATAAAGCTAGAGTAAACAATAAAAAGACTGTAATATGACATTACATGATACATACCAGCTGGTCTCCTATCATAGGATCTAGCTGGAGGAGCCACAGGCCTAGCCCTCACTGTCATTGGCATGGCTGGACGTCTATCTCTCACACTAACAGGCCTGACCAGAGGAACACGACTACTAATGCCCCTTACACCACGGGCAGGTAAACGAGGTGCTGGTCGACTCCATGATGGTCTTGTGGCTCTTCCAGAAGCACGACTTAACCGAAAATCCCCACGACCACCATGTTTTCCATGGCCTCTCTGAAGTGGTCTTGATAATCTTGCCCTAACTTTTGCCTGCATGTATACGTAAGTATATTGTTAATGGTGCATAGTGCACACTAGAAAGACTCCTAGAAGCAATCCAAAGATAAACATAAAAACACTAACTTTTATTTAGATGAATGAAAGGAAAAAATACGCTTAACTTGTTCAAACAATCTTAGTATAATGGTTCTATTGTCTCAGGTTTCTTTGAGCATTAAACTTGTCTAAATATTTTTTGGGTTACAAGACTCCCCAATCTCATCCCTAATATAAAAGTATTTGATGAATGAATGAATGAATGAAGACTGTCAAACAATAATAAATAATGAAGGGGCAGGGCAATGACAAAACGATAGAGGGAAAAAGGAAAAGTAATATAGGGCATGAACCCTTAATGAAAAAGAAAACAGGAAATAAGGAGAAAACAGAACAGAGAAGAGAGATGAAGGCAAAAAAGAGCAGAACATAGGGGAGGCGAGAGAAATGAGCCAGAAAAATAGAAGGCTTCAAACTTGGTCACAGAGCCTTCAAAAGCTTCAGGGGAGGGAATAAAGGTTTTGAAGACAAGGCTCTTCAAAAATCTTTTCACATGGTGCTCTGACAAAATACAACACCAGTGGCGCACAAAGAACTGATGAAGGTACCAAATAGATCATGCGATGCCACAGAATTGAAATTTTAATAGGGTTGCACAAATTACAAACCAACATATTTAACAGCTGTACATTTCCAGTTATATTAAAAGCCAATACAGAATGTGATACCCATAAAAAGAGGGTCATTACAGAATACTGACCTTACTATCTCCTTCACCTATCTCAGAGTTATTAATGCTTTTGGCACATGTCACAGCAGCATCATGGGTATCAAATGTAACAAATCCGAAGTCCTTCCTCTTAGCAGACGGCATGTTTCTGGCAAGCTCAATCTTCTCAATCTCCCCATATCTCTTAAGAAGACCCCGGACACGATCCTCATCCCATGATGGAGGCAGACCATCAATAAATACAGTTTTAACCTGTAAACTTAATACACTTGATCAGCAAATGGGCAGTGAAATAACACCTTAGCACTAGAACTTAAGGACATACAACTTGTCTACAAACAAGTCTTGAGAGCCCCCCACCCTTGAGCAAATAGCTAGAATCATAGAAACTAAAAATCACCAAAACAACCAAAAACAAAAAAATTGTAATCTGCGGCAAACCCAAATACTTCAACAAGATCAAGAAATACTCCATTTCAATACAATAATCCCAGGCCAAACAAGAAATAAATTCAGATCCAAAAGATTACCTGTGCCATAATCTCATCACCTGGGTCAATAAAGGAATCTGCAAAGGAAACCTTTGCAGGCCTATCAACTCCAAACACAACATCTCTCTTCTGCAATCGCTTAAAGGCATCCATAGCCTCTGACCGAGATGAAAATTCTAAAAAAGCAAATCCACGATTCATTCCTTCATTATTACTATCTTCTACTAAAGTCAGATCCTCCACATTGTCCACTCCATAATGCTTTAGCTTCTCCTTTAACTAGCACCAAAATTTCCATTTACAGTCAGAAAAACAGCACACTCGATTATTATTAAGTTAGATATAACTCAGTCCTTATGTGACATAGACCAAACATATACTTACAGCTTCCTTTGTCCAAGTCTTGCATATGTTACCCAAAAAGAGGGTATCACTGTCCTGACTGGGGGTTACCCCACACTGTTTGCCATTAATCTGAAATTGCAGTGATCAGAAACCTCAACATATAATTTAGAATTTTAAGAAGCCCACCCAACCATGAGTAGAAAAAAGATTACCACTGGATTTTTCAGCTCTGTTACAGCTCGTTTTGCTTGCTCCACAGTTGCAAAACGCAAGAATGCAAAACCCTTATTCTTTTCAGTCTGAGGATTCATCATAAGCCTCACTTCAATAACCTCACCAACTGCACTAAACACCTTCCTCAGGTCATCCTCAGTAGCATCTTTATCTAGGCCTCCAACAAATACTTCAAATTCCTTGCGCTTTCTCCTCTCCTTCAAACCTTCATGGTGTTCCTCTTCCTCTACATCGGCAATCTCCTCACGCTCATGCTCCTCTCCAGGATTCTCATCATCCTCTTCACCCTCAAGTTCTCCATGAACGTCCTCCACTTCCTCCTCAACCATATCACCCTCTTCTTCACCTAAATTCTCATCAGGATCTTCCTCGATCTCCTCTCCTACCTCCTGAATGTCATCTTGCTCAATTTCCTTCTCATCATAGTCAACCCCCCCATACTCCTCAGGTTCATATTCTGGATCATTATCCTCCAGATCTAAGCGTTCATCTTTTTCATATTCATCTATCGACTCCTTACCCTCCTCTTCATTGTCTGCCATAAAATAAAGGGGTATCATATTATACCAGTCAAAACAAACTTAACTTTTCCACATCATAATATTAAGGTAGTCTGCATCCCATAAATGATCCCTTCGTTCTTGGTTAAAGTAATTTCCTAATTGCCATATCAACAAAGCATGAAATATAACTTACACGTGCATGAGCTGAAAGGGAACTCAAGCCATGAAAACCACAATCCATCATTGGTACAGATCGAAAAAAATTATGGATCTCCATACCACAGCTCTCCCAAGCCAACGTAGAAGCAAGTTCAACAGCGTGAAGAATGGTCAATTCAATCTTAGCATCTATATAATTCTATCTACTAAGTTGATTTCTTCAACAGAGTGAATTTATTATCTTGAAATTTTAAAACAAAAATGGGGGGAAAACAAAGGAGGTCGGGGGGAACATCAATTTCCCTGATTTCCCTAAAAACATTGTTACACTGTTGCCTATATGACGAATAAAAGACGCCCCTACTAAACCAACCATATGAGACCGTGAAACAATAGCATAGTAATTTTGTTTGGGGAACCTGAATAAATCACTTTACATCTAAATAACTGAGGTACATCTTACATTAAAAGCAAGAAATCAAATTGTAAAGTGAACACGTACTCAATGTCACATAAGACCCACATAAAACCCAGCAAACACAAATGAGAAATATCGTCGCACACGACTCTTGTCATCAAATCCCAGTAAATAATCCTCGATTCTTGAAGCAAAAAAATTAATAAATAAATAACAAAAGAAAAAAGCGCTTACTTTTCACAGCAGCCGACCCATTTGTGACAAGATTCGCTTCTTCAGCCTCTGAAGCGACTTGGTTAATATCAAAAGCCATCTGATTCATATCAATACCCACTTGCTTCTCCTCAACGATCGGTTTCTCCTCGACGACGGGCTTCTCCTCAACGACCGGCTTTTCTTCATGCTTCACAATCTCTTCCACAAAATCAAGATTCTGCTGATTCTGGGCAGCCTTCGGCGTTCCTCTGCCACCTCTTCCCCCTCTCCTGGCCGCAGCTGCAGCCCCTCTCTTCACCGTCCTCGGTGGCATCGCTCACAAATATACTCGAATCAAACTACCCGAACAAAAAGTTCTCAAACTTATACGGATCAGGAAACCCTAAGCTAATCCTCAATTCAAAGAACTGGAAGATCAGAACCCGAAGAGAACGCCAACACGGTCAAAAATAAAAACTGGATTAAAAGTCAGCAGCCCAATACACAGAAAGACGGCAAATTGGAATTCCGAAGGCGAGGGGAAAAAACCCTAGAGACGAAGAATTAAACGAAGAAAAGAGGCAAAACCCTTAATAACTCTGGACATGCTCGCTCAGAACCATATATATAGTCAGTCGTATTTAATGTGTTTAAGGAAAAATTGATACGAACGTCTTTTTGTTGGCCAAAATTTTAAATGAGATTAAATGTCAATTTGCTTCTAAATATCCAGAAAGCTTCTGCCACTTTAAACTTATTTTGAGTATATTAATCTCTTTAATTTTTAAAAATAATTTTGTTTAATTTTTATTATTATTATTAATAAAAGTTAACTTAAATGATTAGCCAATCAAAAAATGATAAAAAATTTCAAACATTATTAAAAATGACAAAAAAATTGTAATAAATGATTCAAAAATTATAAATAATAATTCAAAAATTTTGTTATTGCCAAGAGTCACTTGGTTCACTTGGCACCAACACTCCTCTCATAGCATGAATAATGGGGGTACGATCCAAGAGTGGACAAGGCAATGGGTATGTGAGTTTTCTTTGGGTGGGTGAATGGGTATTATTGATAATCATGCCTTACTAAAAAAAAATTATTTATCTTTTTTTGTAATTTTTTATGATTTTTTTCATTTTTTATTAATTAACTTTAGTTAACAATAAGAACCAGATTGTATCATTCTCAAAGTTGAATAATAACATTGCAATGAAAATAAGTTTAGAGTCTATAAGCTTCTAGACCTATAATTTACCAGTAAAGCAAAATAAAATTTCAAAAAGTTTTTATATACCAATAGAAAACCTGTCATGTATTTTGGTACCCTTCTTATTGGGAGAAGAGGGAGATAATATAAGTAATCAAGCAAATTAAATAAATATATTTTTAATGAAACAATTAGGTTGTTATATAAATGAAAATATAAAAAATTTAGAACATCTATTTAATGAAAAAGAAATAATAAATATGTTACTAGAAGAAGTACAAATAATGTTAGAAAAAAAATTATAGAGAAAAAATGAAAAGACTTAAAGAATATGCTAAACCTTTAGAACAAAAAGTATATAAAATAAATAAAGATTATAATAAAAAATTAAATAAAATAAAATATGATACAGAAAGACTAAAAACTGAAAAAAGTATGATAAGTTATTGTAATAAATGATTCAAAAATTATAAATAATAATTCAAAAATTTTGTTATTGCCAAGAGTCACTTGGTTCACTTGGCACCAACACTCCTCTCATAGCATGAATAATGGGGGTACGACCCAAGAGTGGACAAGGTAATGGGTATGTGAGTTTTCTTTGGGCGGGTGAATGGGTATTATTGATAATCATGCCTTACTAAAAAAAATTTATTAATCTTTTTTTGTAATTTTTTATGATTTTTTTCCATTTTTTATTAATTAACTTTAGTTAACAATAAGAACTAAATTATATCATTCTCGAAGTTGAATAATAACATTACAATAAAAATAAGTTTAAAGTCCGTAAGCTTCTAGACCTATAATTTATAGGTCAATTTACTCATTTACACTTTTAAATTAATTTTTATAATTTATTTTATTTTAATCAATTTATATTATAAATTTAATCAATTTATATTATAAATTTTTTGAATATTTTTTAAAATTAAATTATTTTTTATATTTTATTAAAAGATGTCTGACTTTAAAATTATTTAAATAATTTTTTAAAATATTATTTAATTATGCTGCCTCAAGTTTATTCTATTATTCTTTTATTTACAAATATTTTAAATGCATTAAAATTATTATCATTATTTAAATAATAATAATAATAATAATAATAATAATAATAATAATAATGATGATGATGATAATTAGATATTAAGTTTTAACACTATAGATTAAATAATTAATTATGTTAATTTTTAGCATTGATATATATTCAAGTATTTATATAATTTTTGTCTAATACATCAAATTTTATATTATATATTTTTAATATATTAAATTTTATGTTATTTAAAGTTTGCGTGATTGGTTAAACTTTTTTTGAATAAAAAAATTATCATGGAATATATTTTTTTGAGTCATTTTAATTTTTAATATTAATGTATTAAGTTTTATGTTATTTAAAATATTTATCAAATTTTTTAGATGTTCAAAATATATTATATTTATATAATAAAAATTAAAAATCATAATTTTATTAATTATAATTTTAAAAGCACATTTCATTATTATATTTATTTAGTTTACAAAACAGATTCTTGAAAAAATTTATTCAAACATAAATTTTATTATAATAATTAATTTTTATTTAACTGATTTTTGTTAAATATATCTTTAACAAATTGATGTTTGATTAATGAAAATCCAAATACGAATATTTACTATTTAATATTAATTAAATTATTAAATTAGATATATGAGTAAAAGAAGGGAGAGGGGTCCACGCGGTTTTGTGGGGAACGCACAGCACAAAGGCGTGGGAGATACGGGGTAGGATCTCATCGTGCATTTTGATCATCTTCCCATATTGGTGGAAAGCTCGGACAAATGGCTTTTCTTTGTTGTTTTTTCAGTGGAAAGGGAGGATAGTTATTCATTGAATAAATAAAGGACTAATAAAACTTTTAATCATTCAAATTTAATTTATCTCCACTATTATTTTAGTTATTTAAGTTTAATTTTTATTAATTTAGTTTCTGAAATTTGTCTTAATTATACCTTATTGTTTAAATAGTAAATATTATTAAAATTTGTTGACATGAATAATGAAATATTGATGACAGCTAAATTAATGAAAAGAAATTTAATTATTTAAAAAAACTCAAAAACTGAAAAACATAAGATCAAAAGGCAGTATAAGAAACTTAATTAGTAAAAATTAAACTAATTCAAGTGTTAATTTGTTCTCATTTAGTTATATATGTATGTCAAGTTATTAAAATACTTCACACATTAGATTAATTTAAAAATAAATTTTTGTTTTTAACACTTAAAGGATTACATTTTAATTTAAGAAAATATAAAGGATTAAGTGGATAATTGAGACAAATTTGATATTTATGATACCAATAAATAATTGCAACAGAATCTAGAGTTGAGAATATGGGTTGAATTATATGGATTGACCAAATACCTTGTTATAAGAGTTGAGTCATGTTGAAAAATATTGACCCATATGATTTTTTTAGTTTGAACCACATAATCATTGCCCTAATGAATTAACCCTAATGGGTTAAGGTTGGCCCATTTAATTCATATTTTTTACAAAAAATAAAAAAAATGAAAGGAGTTTTAGCACCAAAATCTCACAAAACAAGCAAATTTTGAAATAAATTATGATGAAATGGATCCATTTTATGATGTAAATTTTTTAATTGCATGGAATGTCATAATAAAACTTTTCATTTAAAATTTTTTATCACCTAGGTTGGATTGAAAAAAATCCCAACCCATATGAAAATAAGTTAAACCTAGCTCGACCTATATTTTTCTCAATTTATATGGATTGATTCGTATTCTTAACTCTAATAGAATCTAAAACAACAAGTAATCAAAATCAGCTAGCTCATTTTTTAACCAAACAAGTTTGAGACCAGAGACATGTCTTTTCTTGTATAACAAATAATGTCCCCAGTCAACATGAAAAAGGTTATGCTCCGCTGTGAAAGATTCCCGTTTGTTTGTTTGTTTTTTTTGTTTTACCACAATACCAACACATGATTCCAAAAATGAGGTACCAATTGCTACCAACAATGTGAGGATCGATGAAAAAATTTTATCATCAGGGGCGAAACTAGAATAGAAAGGAGGCTAAATCAGACAAGCCAATTCAAGTAAATTCAAAAATAGTACAAAGTTAGGTTTAGTAGAATAATAAAATTTTAATAGTTGAGTTGAGTTTATTTGGTCTAACTAAGCTTGACAAGCAAGCTCGGATAAGTTCATAAAAATTTTAAAGTTAGATTTAATAAAATAATAAATTTTTAATATTCAGGCCAAAACATGATTGGTTTTGGGACTTGAATGCCCAAATAAAAAAATATATTTTAAAAATATGATAAATATTAATTAATTTTTTAAGTTTTATATTATTTTATAATAAAATATCATATATTTGAGTGCATTACTAAAGATATTTTTTTAAAAAAATTATATTGTCATATTTTTATTATTTTTAATCTCTAAAATATTTTAAAATAATATTTAAAATGTATTTTGATATTGATTTTAGATTATAAGACCCACATATTTTTTTTAAAAAAATTGAGTCTTATATATCATTTAAGTATCCAAAAAATATGTTTTATATTTTTTAAAAATAAAATAATTAATTTTAAAGTAAAACATTATATTAAAATTAATTTTGAAAATAAAAATTGTGGGTATTTAAGTTGCCCGAAACCCCAATGAATTCAAGTCAAGCTTAACCATTTAGGCCTATTTAGGACAGGCTTATTTGGGATTGGGTTGATTAAGTTTGATGTAATGTCCACCATGAGATTATTAGAACACAAAACACAAACACATAACATCATTATGATAATCGAGATTAATTAATTCCTTATATAAGATTATTATAACACAAGAGTTTAAAAAGTCTAGTTTAGAAGATTTGAGATCTCAAGAAACCTTTTTAGAAAAGATGCTTGAGCTCAAACCAAAGTTTAAAACGAAGTAACGAAAGCATGAAAACAAACAACAAGCATTCAAGCATCAAAGAGGCTATTCTAAACAATTCCCAAAATGCATTGTCCGCCACAATGCGTGTGTCATCCGCTGCGGCAGATGGCATAAAGGGATTAGTTCCCTTGTTGTGTAGGGTCCCACGGCTCATATGTGGCTCTTTCTTACATCGTGGTGCAACCTTGCTATCATAACAATACTTTGAGATTAACTTTTGAAGTGCACTGTTTCACTATTTGACGTCCAATTTGAGTGATTAAAGTGTTCATGTGTGGCTCTTTAAGCCACCTAACTATTGGCACTTGTTTCACAGCTAAACACTTTACCATTTAAAAGTTGGACATCTAAACACAAAATTAACCTTTTTCCTTTCAAAACTATCACAAAGGTGTCCAAACTCATCAATCATATGCTAATTACCCTAAGA